ATTAAATAACATATGTGTAGGTATATATATATATAAATCATTTAAGATGATTAATATTATCATTCTTATTTGGCATATCTTAATAGGCTGGTTGTTAAATTAATGATATGCGTATAATATGCATGTGATGGCTATGTATGATTTAGCGTATTGTTAATTTTAAAGTTAATTCATGGTTAAAGTGTGGGCATGGATGAATTGTCAAATGATTAAATATATTACCTAAATATTTGTATGAATAGAATACATATATGGAAAGTATGGATGAATTGCTAATTAAATGTATGAATAAATATACCTGTGGAGGCATGGTTGAATTGCCAATGTATAAATATACATACACGGAGGCATGGTTGAATTGCCAATGTATAAATAAATATACTTATGGAGGCATGGTTGAATTGCCAATGTATAAATAAATATACTTATGGAGGCATGGTTGAATTGCCAATAGATAAATAAAAATATTTACAATGGCATGGTTGATTTGCCAAAGCATAATTACGTTGTTATGTGTTAGATGATTAAAATATCATCTATGGTTGTTGTATGTATGGATTGGATTAGGGTTAGATATTCTTAAATGAGAATAGTTTAGTACTTACTGGTTAGTGTATTATTTTACATTAATAAAATAATATTGGGGAAGACGTGGATGATTTGTCAAAACTTGGATTTTGGATATGTGATTTAAACAATTAAAATCATTAGACATGTATATCGTGCTTTATTAAAGTTAAAACTTTATTAGGTTTGGTTTTGATCAGAGATGATCTGCTTATTGGTTTTCAGAGGCCTGGTAGAGTGAACTTGCTCGTAGGGTTTAACCCACGATTTATTTTTCAGGTTATTAGAGGTTCCAGTCTCGAGGTTGAGGATCCGCAGCTGGGAGACTGTCATTCGTCTATTCATCTTGTGTACTTTTAAATAGTATTAGATTATTGGATAATGTTTTAAGGGGTCCTTGAGTTATGGGATTTCCGAATTGTAATTGTTGGAGAATCATTAAGTAATATTTATTTATTGGTTTTCTTCAGCGGTTTATTTATTCTTTATTATTCTTCTTTGTATTATGTGCTTGTTAAATACTTAAATTGTTTTGATATCCCTTGATTTTGTGCGCGGACTTGATCAATCCGTGTTCCAAAATTAGGGGGTATCACAGCAAAGGTTGATGTTTAATTGACCAACCGATCAATTTTTGGCGCCGTTGCCGGGGATTGCAAACGGTTTAGCGACCAAAGTTCTAGGGTTAAATTTAGTTTGATTGTGAATACTGTGTTTTGTGAATATTTCTTGTGTGGTTTAACCATTTTTGTGTTGTAAGTGAGATTCTAGGAACTCGAAGCTCGCCGTGGGGAATGCTAGCAAATTGTTAGTCTAGAGGACCCCAGGTAAGTCTCTTGACCTTCTAGTTTCAAATTATGGATATTGTGCATGTGTTAAGCTTAGAAGTAGTTAAATTGCAAGCCCTTATCGAGGCTATTTCAATTGTGTATTTTCAATTCCAAGCATCGGTCCTTGTCGTGGCCATTTTAATTTTTGTCTTGATAATTAAGGAGAAAGGGAATATCATTGTATGTGGAGTTGATGATAAAGAATGTTGTGTTGATTATGTTGTGTGTTGTTGATGTTTAACTCCTAGATGGAGAATAATTATCTCCCAACTCAATTCTACACACCACATGCGTTTTGTGCTTTTTGCTCTAGTAATACACATCATACAAGAGATTGTCTTCTAACGAGACAATTCTCGGATTTTTATCTAGAACAACCAAATGAAAATTTCTTTGAACCGAGTAGTGATCCATACTTCAATGGTTACAACTCGGGTTGGGGAGACCAACAAAACTTCTTGTGGCATGACATAGGAAATTCAACCCCACAATCTCATATGCAACCTTTTCAACCCAATGATCATTCTTTCCCGCCCTCTTCTCCTTTTCCACCGTCTCCATTGGATGAGCTAATTGTTGCTAACAAACAAATGATGGAGTCTATGCACACGCAAATGATGGACTCCAACAATCAACTATTGGCTTCCCTTGCTAGCATGTAATCCACAGTAGAGTCTATCAATCAAGTGGTACCATATCACCAGTCCCAAGTTAGTGCAATGATAGATGACCAAATATCTCAAATTCAACAAAGGATTAATGCTAAAAATCATGAAGAGGAGGAAACATTTTCATGTGAATTTATGGCCAATCCAAAAGAAAATTCTATGAATGATGAGTTTACTCCTAGTAACTTTCATCATGAGAATGATCAAGTGGTTATTACATGTGAAAATGATGAAATGGTGGTTGAAGATCAATTTGTTGCCCCACATCAAAATGAGGCAATTGTGGCTCAAAATGGGAAAAATAATGATGTAGAGATTGTCTACCCTACTCCAAAATAGCCCCTACATAATCCTTTGCTTGATGCACCTCCTTTAATGGAGGATCCTCTAAAAGCTTGCTTAGCTCATTTCAATTATGAGAATTTTGATGTTGACAATTTTTTTTTGGAGGTAAATTCTTTGTTTGATATTCCTCCACCTATTCACTCTCTTCCTTGGACAACATCAAATGTATCCCTCTCTTGGGAGCTTGCATCTCCTCTCATTCCTTCACATGAGTTATCTCAAGCTATTGAGCCCGAACCGCCAGATAAGTGTGAGGAGGATGTTGAAAGTCTGAAGGATAATTTGTCGAGCATTCCCGTGCTCAGTATGACCCTTCATAAGTCTTTGCTTAGTGCACCCTCACTTAATCCATCTTCTAATAATCCAAATCAGCCCCATAATCCAAAGTATTTCATTGAGGATGAAGAGTGGGTTGAGGTCTTTCCGCTACCTCTTTTCCACTTTTGTCTTCAAGCTCTTCCTCCTTCGCTTTTAAAAGAATTATCCTATTTAGGGAAGCTTGAATCTCTTGAGAGACATGGTATAGGGTAAGGAGGACTAACCTGATCTCGGTGTGTCTAGCTATCGAGATTTTTGAGGATTAGTACCTACTCTAACTTCGTCTAGCTATCGACATTAAATTTAGCAAAGCAAGGGAAGCAATTCTTTCAATTTCCAAGCTTCCTTCTCTTTGAAATTGCTCGTGCCTTGCAAAATTTTCTGGGAAACGGTTTAGAAAAGCCAAAAATTTGATTTTTCTTAGACCTTCTCAACTCTAATTTTCATTCCCGGAAATTTCCATCGCTTCCTAGCAATTTCATCGGATCTTGGGAATGTTATTCATGTGCATAATGTCTCATTTGTAATACATTCTTGAAAATTTTCGCAAAATCATCCATGCATTGAAATTCTTGCACTGTTTAAAATTTTTCCATGCATTTGCAATGTTTGAAATTTTTTCAAAATTCCCCATGCATTGTCCCATGCAAAATTTCAATTTCTTTCCATGCATGCAAAGCTTCAAAAATCCATCCATGCATTAGATTGGAATAATGTGCAAAGTTTTAAAATTTTCCATGCATGGCTTGAATTGAAGCTGCTGCTTGCAATGATTTTTCAATGCATGGGAATGACATGAAAAATTTTCGATGCATGGAAAGGCATGCAAAGTTTTCAAATATTTTTCCAACTGCCATGCAAAGCTTTAAAAATCTTTCCATGCATGGGAATGGCATGCCAAGTTTAAAAATTTTCCATCCATGCAAAAATTTCAATCCATTTCATCCATACACTCAAAACCTATCCATGCAAGATCTTTCATGCATTCAAGTTGGCTGAAACATTCAATCTCCAAGTGCCAATTCATTTCAAAGCTACTGAGCCAATTTCGTGCCCTCCAAATCCCATTCAGATTGCTCCAAATTACCACACCAATTTTGCATACTCACTGCCCAAGTTTAGAGCACTCTAGCTCCCATTTGGAGTGCTCTAAATGTGAACCATCAATCCCAAGCTCACTGCCTTCATTTAGAGCGCTCTAGCTTCCATTTAGAGTGCTCTAAATTTTCAGCCCAACATCCCGCAACCACTGTCTCCCATGGAATGAGATTGCAAATGCAAATGCATGGAATTTCCATGCATGGACTCCATTTTGAACAGCTTCCATTTCCATGTTGCTCACATTCCATATTCCATTGTAACAAATTCAACTTCTATGGTGCTCACTGTCTTGCATGTTTTCCCCTTTCACTCCTTACTTCAGTCCTCACAGCCGAGCTCACCCCCTAGCCTACTGAGCCATTTTCGAGCACTCTAAATTCTAGTTTGAGTGCTCGAATTTCATGCACCAACCCACCCAACTCACTGCTCTCAGTTCGAGCACTCGCCGATCCTATTTGGAGTGCTCGAACTCCACCTTCTTTCTCTCTCCATAGCCAACCCCAACATACCGAACCTACTGGCTCCATTTCGAGCACTCGAGCTCCCCCTAGCGAGTGCTCGAACACTTCATGCCAACGCCCCGAGCATTCGTTGCCTCACCCTCATCGTCTTCTCTTCCTCTCGGCCATCACATCTATAAACCAAACCACCCATCAACCATCCCATGTATACAAACCCAGTCCTCACCACCCACAACCCACCTCTCCCCCAACACAACACCACCCATCGGCAAAACCAACCAACCCTCCCTAACCCCATGACCTCGCACACATAGCACACTCTCTCTCTTGGCTACCTTACCAACAAATCAACCTCACACCAAGCCACTTTTCACCACCATCCCCTCATGCATGATCTCCTCTCTCTCTCAACCCGAGCCACGCCACACACCAACCCTCCATTTCCACTCTCTGCCGGTTTCTCGAGCACTCGAAGAAGCATTTCGAGTGCTCGAGCTTACTCGACCTTCCTCACACTAAACATCCCGAGCTCACTGCCCTCCATTCGAGCTCTCTTACTCCCCTGCTGAGTGCTCGAAACACCACCCAACCACCCATGCTCACACGACCCAACTCTCGGCATTTCAGTTCCGCAGCCACTGCCAGTTTTTCGAGCACTCGAAGTCCAACTTCGAATGTTCGAACCCCCTCTCAACCTCTCCCAAGCTCTCTCACTCACCACCCGAGCACTCAACCTCTCTCAACCTCTCGGCATCTCTCCATCCAGGCCAACCCAAGCATGCAACCACCCCTGCATGCCAACTAACCACCACCCAGCCACCAACCTACCCACACCAAGCAACCCAACCCCATCACTCCTCTCAGTTTGCACCAATCAACCCAACCCCATGCAAACCCAACCACCATCAACACCAACTCCACGACCTGCATCACCCTCTCTCTCAACCTCACACCCCACCTCCACATTCAACCAACCTAACTCACAAACTCAACCTCATCTCCTCTAACCACAACCACCTCACCACCCCCTTGCATGCACACCACCCTCTCAACCAAACCAACCTCTCATGCGACCAACCCCTCATGCACATCTTAAAAATATATATATATATATATATATATATACATATATATTTATATATATATAGATATAATACTAATAATAATAATACTAAATAAATAAATAAATCAATTTTTTTGGCATTGTTTTGTTTTTCATCTTGCACTATACTTCAGGTTAGAGTTTTTATTTTTGTTTTGGTTTTTCTTACGAGCCCTATGCTTTTCCATGTATATTTTAGTTATGTTTTGATAGGTCTTCATGTCCAAGTTTGGGGGACGCGTTTGCGCATTTACATCGATGGATATTTTTGCATTCGTCACTCTACTTGGTAATATTGTTCTTTTACCTTCTTTGCTCTTATTTTTGTTTCACTTGTTTTCACACATTGAGGACAATATGACATTCAAGTTTGGGGGTGCAATAGGACATTTTTGGTTTCACATTTTTGCTAAGCAATGATATTGTAATTTGAAACCTGTTGGAGATGAAGCATATGTTTAATACCTTGTGTATAGAAGCAATTGAAATTTTTGAAAATAAAGAAAAATTTGAGTTGAAATGATTATGTAGATTCAAATTAGTCTGTACAAATGTCTCAATTAAATTCTCGCTGGATTTGACACTCTTTTAAGCTTCACAATGCACATTGGAAACTTAACTGTGAGGCATGCAACTTGGTCAACCTTGACCTTGGCCTAGTTAATTTGATTTGATGAACCTGATAGATGAATATCTTTGGCATGATTTAAGTTGTCTAAAAAAAAAAAAAAAACTGAGAAAGAAAGAAAAAAATGACCAGTTGACCTTCGTAGCCTTTCCAACTCAAGCTATTAAGCTCTAGGAGTGTCTCTACACTTAGCACCCTAAAGCCGTTTGGTTTGGGAGTTGTTGGCCTAACGCTTGCTACAGGAGTTGGTTAGAAAGCTTAAAGGACTTAAACATTGCACGGTCATTCAAAAAAATTGTAATAAACATGGTTCGCTAGAGTTCGTAGCCTTTCCAACTTGAGCTATTAAGCCCTTTGGAGTGTCTCTACACTTAACACCCTAAAGCCATCTGGTTTGGGAGTTGTTGGCCTAACGCTTGCTACATAAGTTGGTTAGAAAGCTTAAGGGATTTCAGCATTGCACAACCATTCTATGTTTCGCTTATGAGTTACAATAAATTATCAACAAGCAATAAAAGTTGTCTTGTAAATAAAATCATGCATGCCTTAGGGACCTCATTTAAAGGGGAATTCAATGATTTGAAAACTTGTGCTTTGGAATTGGAAAAGAAAGTAAAAGCTGCATGTTGAGAATCCAATTCACTTTCACTGAAGCTAGAGTTAATTTCCATTCAAGAGATGATAATTGAGTTATTTATATAGACTTTGATGTTGATGCATGTATGTGGAAATATATTTAGCCAATTTTTGTATCAATGCTTCATATATGGAAGGTAGTTTTCCCAATTACCCCATCTCCAGTTTTTGTCTGTTTCAAGTTGTATTTGAGCTATGTATCTATCTCATTTTACCATGGATGATATTTTTGTAGTAGCATGCCCATGGTTGTCTTTTCATTAAGTTTTTCATTGTAGTTTTGCTAAGGGACTAGCAAAATGTAAGTTTGGGGGTGTGATAAGCGCCGAATATTGCATATTCAAGCGCCTTTAATTGCATTAGTTAAGTCCATTGTTCGTTTAATTATGTAGATTACTTTCATTTCAATATTTTTGTGCATTTTCAGGTTCAATTGCAATAAAGGAGTAAGAAGGGTGTTTTGTAGAGTTTTTGAATATCAAGGTGCCAATTCTGAAATTCTGGCAGCAGTGAAGCCCGAACTTTGTTCACCATTTTGACCTACCAAACTCAAGAACTGGACTTCCATCATGACATAAAAGATTTAGAGCTCTAAATCAGCTTTCCAAATCTTCAAGCGGTTTGTCATTCGGAATTCGGAGTAGAGAGTTATGATCTTCTTATTAGAGGTGCTCAGAACTGCCTGGCAGCAATGAAATTCTGCCTTGATCTTCATTTTTGACCAACCATCCTTGAGAATTGTATCTCCACCAAAACATGAAGTATTTAAAGCTCTGAATTATATCTCCAAATCTTCAAACGGTTTGTCATTCGGAGTTCGGAGCGCAAAGTTATGGCCATTTCATCAAAGTAGGTCTGGGCGGAGCAAGTGAAGCATAGAGCTTTTTACACTAAATTCGAGTGCTCGAGGCCCTATTTCGAGCACTCGAAATTTGGGCAGAATGCCCTTCAGAAATGGCTCATTTCAGCCCACTTGCACCTTGGTTTCTTCATTTTATTTTCCTCTTTAATGAAGTGGTTGGAGATGTTGGTTGGTGGCCTCTTGGAGTGGATAAGATATCTAATAAAGGGAAGGAGGCCACACATTGCAATTAAGCTTCATTCTACAAGATTAGAGGAGGGAGAAGAGAGCAAAGAGGAGGGTGTGTTCTTGAAGCCAAAGGAAGGGAGCTCAAAAAATGGCTTATTCTTCCAAGCTTCCTTCTTCCATTTTTGTATCCATGGATAACTAAACCTCCATCTAGGGAGGTGATGAAGCTCTCTCTTGTAAGCATGCTTTAATTTCATCTAATTTGGGGAATGATTCATGTACATGGTAGTTTCATGATTTAGAGCACTTACACTTGTTGTAATGGATTTCAATGCCTATAAATGATCATGTTGAGTTCATTATCTTGTCTTAGATTTTATCCTCTCATAATTATATAACTTGCATCTTCATAGTGAGAATGTAAATGAAATTGTGAAATGGGTTTAAAGGCATGTTGTATGAGAAATTTGTTAATCTATAGCTTAAGACTTCCTTTTGATGGATTAATCTTGTATCTTGACTTCATGTGCTATTACCATAGTGATTGAGGGGTTTGATGGTCCCTAGCTTAGTGAGCATGTTATGGCTACACCCTAATCTAGGTAGTTCTAGCATGTGGCTCTTTGAGGGATTATACTTAAATCTTGATCCTATGATTTTCTTGAGGATAATGTAGCAATCTAGTATTGTTACATATCATTGCCATGTAGTGAAATTGTTTCCCAAGTTAATAGAAATTTAGTATGTTTATAGGATTGGTGGTGAATTCACTTCCCTAGACCTCCGTTTCTAGACTTCTTCCTCTTAAATTCCTTGCATTTATTTCTTTAAGCACATTTCAATTCTAGTGACTAAGTGACAAACCAACAAAACTCTATATACCCCCTCATCATTCTAAAAGTAATCTAGACTCTTAGGTTACCATAGACTAGCGCAGTCCCAGTGGTTCGACTTACCCGACCAATAGCCCTATTTTACAATGATTCGTGCTATTGCAAAGGTTGATGTTTAATTGACCAACCGATCAACTATAGTTTCAGTTTTGTTCCTAACGCGTGATAATTTCGGTAGCAAATTTAATCTCTGTAATTGATTTTAATTGTTATTATCAAGCCATTGGGATGCTACTGGGTATTAATATGACACCTAACATGTGATACCCCTTGGATCTGAGACACGGGTTGATCAGGCCCAGGCCCAAACCCGCGGGAATATCAAACAATTAAAGTATTTTAATATGAACACAGATGACAAAAAGAAACAATAAAGATAGAATAAAGCTGAAAAAAATAATAATAATAAAACCCTCCATGTATAACTGAAAATTGAAACTCCAATCCTCCAAAACTTCAAGGTTACAACTTGGGAATCCACTGATGGACCCCTAACCAAAAGTTCAACTGAAACTGAAAACTGAAAATAGATAATGCTAGAAACATCGAGAGAAGTCCTACATAAACAGATGAAAGTGAGACTGTCCTCGACAAGCCCTATCAAGCTCTAAGGCTGGAACCGTTCTGCACCTGAAAAGAATAATGAAGGAGTGGGTCAGACCCACGAGCAAGTTCTAATCTAACTGCAATCCATACAGTGACCCGATACGCAGATACACCGTAGACACCTCACAATATCTATCTAGTCCATACGTATAAATATATCCACACTAAGGGACATTCACTAGTCTATAATAGGGGTCTCAACCTGAACAGAAGGTAACATGCGAATACGCACCCAAAGGTGGGCATGAGTACCTAGACCTAACAGGGTACACCTCAACCTATTATAACCAGCTACGCATCCACTGCATATACGCACCCTAACCAACGAGTCTGAGACACAAGCTCAACTCGTGGTACCATAAACATATATATAAAGTCCGTCCAAATCCAGGGTATGCAATTCAACTATTTATTAAACTGACACACAATAAACCAACTAGTTAGTCACTCAACTTATTCAGTTGATATGACTTAACTACTATCCGTTAATCCAGAAAGTCATCCAACTTGGTTACAGCTGATCTGACTTAGTCACAATTAGGATTCGATATCTTTCAATCCATTCCATTAATCCATTAGGTTAGGTTTATGCATTTTGAGCTAAACCGTCCCTAGTATGTCACGGTCCCATACCGGTGCATACAATCCTCCACATCCATGTAAATTACAACATATATAACAGTTCAATAATTTACAGACCAAAAACCACCATCCAATAATTGCAGAAGGAACCTTAACAATCTAGCAATTAAAATCCAGTAGTAATCCATGTAATTGCATCGAAGAATAAACTATTCTAAAAATTAACATCCAACACATGCATAGTTCAAATTTAATAAAACAATGACCCTATCATGTATTTAAAATTAGTTCTATAATAATATTATAGTCCAATAAATCGCTAAATTAATCTAAGCGATCTAGTTCCTTCCATTTGGTAACAGAGTACTAAGTCATATACTTATATTTTGTTGTATCCTTTAGCACAGAGCCCCCACTATGCCACAAGTCCAATATATTACTTTAAAAGACTTCATCGTGCATCTAAAATAAATTTAAACTCATTTTATAGCACCCTAAACCATCAGATTAAAATTAATCAACAAATTTCCTTTCAGCCGTTAACTGTACGCAAAGTTGTCAAATAGCGTACTGTTAATTCCATTAATACCAAGAGGGTTTTTGATGCAATTCAAGACCTTAATTACATCATAGATTATTTATTTAAAAGCCCATTAAAATTTTAAAACTGTTCAAGAACCACAGGTGCCCAAACAGTAGCCATAAACACTGTACGCATCAAAAAAATGAAAGAGCCTGCTCTAGAAAAATAGAGCAAGCTCTAAATCAGCATAGAGCTGGCTCTACCACCACCTTGGAGCCGGCTCTAAACAGGTGGGAGCCGGCTCTTGGTATTCTAGAGCCGGCTCTCTCTTCCCCTGCGAGCTTCCCCTCCGTTTCAGCTTCGTTCTGACCTCTGTTCCAACTCCGGCCAGTTGCAATCTTTCTGTTGGGTTTTAAAACTAATTTAAGAGTCATATTTAAGCCTAATAGCATCCCCAAGATTTTATTACAATAATTTGAAACCAATTACAGAGATTAACCGAAGCCATTTAAATTGGTATGCTTGAAGAACAACACTGAAAATTAATTTTAGAAAAATTTCAGTTCTCTTCCAAACCCTCTGTTCCCTTTTACCACTGAACCTAAAGATCTTATATCAATCCCAAGGACATCCCCATGGTTCATTTACAGAGATTAAAAGCAATTCCAAAGACTAAAGTTACAACAGAGCAACATGCTTATAGAACCGAAAACTGAAACGAGACATGCATGAACTGTAACAGATTGATTTTTCAACATAACAGATCATTCACATGACATATATTAAACATATATCTTCCGGTTATTGATTGGTTAAACCCTAGAGATTATCTAGGTGCACAGAACACGAGCCAAAGAGAAGGAGAAAGAGAAGAACTTGCCTTTGAGTTTCAGACTTGAAACTCTAAATTCTCAGCTTCTGTGGTGATATGTTTGTGTCCTAAACTGTAAGTCTGCTTCCCTAGTAACTTGGTTCAACCCAGAGACACCTCCTATCTTCCTCTGTTCTCCCCCTGTACTTCACAATTTCTGTGTCTTTCACAGAATGCAATTCACGTCTCCGAGTAACTGCTATGAATCCAAACCCTAAGCTTACCGCACATAATATATTTATAAACTTAACTCTAAACCCTAATCCTTGTAACCTTAAAGCCAGAGCCCATCTCGGCCCATAAACCGACCTAAGATAAATACTTACGTCGGCCACCCATGTAAATTGCAACCCTAAATTCACGTAGAGAACAGAAAACTAAATTCCCTTAAATTTAAATTTCCATTAAATAAAATTGATTAAACAATTAAATAAACACAATTAAATAAATAAATAAAATTATATAAACAGTTACCAAAAACATATTAAGTAACATGACTGATTAAACAAATAAACCATTAAGCAATTTATTAAACCAAATAATGCACATACAACCAATTTAAACAAATGAAAAACAATAAGATAAATAAAAATGCGATAAAGACAATAAAATAAATAAAAATGCAATACAATAAATATTAAAAATGCCGAGACTATCCTTTTAAAATTAGGGGTATTACATAACATTTGTTTTAGAAACCAAATAGAAAGGTTGCAACTGGCCGGAGTTGAAGCAGAGGTCAGAAACGGAGCAAACGAAGCTGGAACAGAGAGATAGCTCGCAAGGGGGGAGAGAGCTGGCTCTGGAATGTCAAGAGCCGGCTCCCACCTGTTTAGATCCGGCTCCAAGGTGGTTTAGAGCTGGCTCTATGCTGCACTGAGCCTGCTCAATTTTTCTAGAGCAGGCTCTTTCATTATTTTGTGCATATAGTGACTTTTCAGTTACTGTTTGGGCACTTGGGGTTCTTGATCAGTTTTAGAAATTTAATGGGTTTTTAAATAATTAGTTTAACATGTAACTAATGTCTTGAATTGCATAAATTTACCCCTTAGTTTTAATAGAATTAACAGTACGCTATTTGACAACTTTGCGTACGGTTAACGGCTGGAAGGAGATTTACTGATTAGTTTTAATCTGACAGTTTAGGGTGCTATAAAATGATTCTAAATTTATTTTAAATGCACTGTGAAGTCTTATAATTAATAAATTGGACTTGTGGCATAGTGTGTGGCTCTGTGCTAAAAGATAAAACAAAAGATAAGTATATAACTTAGTACGCTGTTACCGGATGGAAGGAACTAAATTGCTTAAATTAATTTAGCGATTTATTGGACTATAATATGATTAGAACTTATTTTAAATACATGATAGAGTTATTGTTATATTAAATTGGAACTATGCATGTTCTGGATGTTAATTGTTAGAATATTAAATTCTTTGATGCAATTACATGGATTAATACTGGATTTTAATTGCTAGATTGTTAATCTTCTTCCTGCGATTATTTGGATATTAGTTTTGGATTGTAAATTACTAAACTGTTATATATATGATGTAATTTACAAGGATATGGAGGATTGTATGCACCGGTATGGGACGGTGACATACTAGGGACGGTTTAGCTCAAAACGCCTAAACCTAACCTAACGGATTAAAGGAATGGATTTATAAATATTGAATCCTAATTGTGTTTAAGTCAAATCAACTGCAACTAGGTTGAGTGGCTTCCTGGATTAATGGATGGTAGTTAAGTCATATCAACTGAATAAGTTGAGAGACTAACTAGTTTGTTTATTGTATGTCAGTTCAATAAATATTTGAACTACATACCCTGGTTTTGGACGGACTTTATATATATGTTTATGGTACCATGAGATGAGCTTGAGTCTCAGACTCGTTGGTTAGGGTGTGTATATGCAGTGGATGCGTAGCTAGTTATAATAGGTTGAGGTGTACCCTGTTAGGTCTAGGTACTCATGCCCACCTTTGGGTGCGTTTTCGCATGTTGCCTTCTATTCAGGTTGAGACCCCTATTATAGACTAGTGAATGTCCCTTAGTGTGGATATATTTATATGTATGGACTAGATAGGTATTGTAAGGTGTCAACATGTATTTGCGTATCGAATCACTGTATGGATTGCATTTAGATTAGGATTTGCGTGTGGGCCTGACCCATTCTTCTATTATTCTTTTCAGGTGTAGGACGGTTCCAGCCTTAGAGCTTGATCATACTTATCAAGGACAGTCTCTCATTCATCTACTTATGTAGGACTTCTCTCGATGATTCTAGTTTGATGTTTTCAGTTCCAGTTCAGTTAAGATTTTCTTTAAGGGTCCACCATTTGGATTCCCAAGTTGTAACCTTGAAAGTTTTGGAGGATTGAATTAATATTATCTATCGTTAAAGGATTTTATTTATATTTCTTTTGGTTTTCTTTATTTAAATTCTTAATTTTCTGTTTTGTGTTCGATTTAAAATACTTTAATTGTTCGATATTCGTTCGGGTTTGGGCCTGAGCCTGATCAACCCGTATCTCGGATCCGAGAGGTATCACAACTGTACGAATTGTCGTAGGCTTAACCACTGGGCTCAACGTCTCATCATAATCGAGACCAAGTTGTTGATGAAATTCTTTAGCAACCAAGTGAGCTTTATAATGTTCAATGCGACCATCAGAGTGACGTTTAATTTTAAAAACCCATTTACAACCAACAGGAGTGTGAGAAGAAGAAAGTGGAACCAAAGACCATGTACCTTTCTTTAAAAGAGCATTAAATTCATCAGTCATTGCCTGACACCACTCAGGAGAGTGAGCTGCATTAGTATAACATGTTAGCTCAATGTCTGTAGTGTGGAGAAGAGACGCAAAGGCCTGTGGTAATGGGTGTTTAGTGGTAACCATGCTGTGAATATTCTTTTCTTTCAGAATGCCATCACGAAGCCTTGTAACCATAGGATGTTAAGAAGTAGATGATGGAGCTGAAGTGGATATTTGCTCAGTTGGAAAAGAAGATCCAGAGACCATTACAGAGGATGGTGGAGCAATGGGTGTAAGTTCCTGAGATGTGGTAGAGTTTAGGGCTGGATCCATGAATGTGGAAGGTGTATTTGGTGTAGTAGATGATGGCAGTGTGAAGGATGATTGTGGAGAGAAAATCGGAACAAAGACGATGTCATTCCCTGAAAGTTGCGACGGATAAAGCGCATTTAGCAGTGCAGTGGCATATGGAAATATGGACTCATCAAATTTAACCTGTCTAGAAATGTATAGTCTTCCAGTGTGCGAATTAAGGCAACGATATCCTTTATAATGTGTACTGTAGCCTAAAAAGACACATTCAATAGAACGAGCTTGTAATTTGTTAGTAGTATAGTCACCAAGAAAGGGATAGCAAGCACAACCAAAAGAATGAAGTTCACCATAATTAGGTGGTGAACCAAATAAAGCCTCAAAAGGTGATGACCAACCCGAAACTGAAGTGGGTAACCAATTAATAAGATAAATTGCAGTAGCCATGGCTTCAACCCATAAATTAAAAGGCATGTGTGAAGCAAGAAGTAATGTACAACCCATTTCAGAAATACGGTGATGTTTGCACTCTGCAACACCATTTTGTTGCGGGGTGTGAAGACATGAAAGTCTATGGTGAATTCCTTTTTGTGCACATAAGGTATGGAAGTTTGTGTTATCAAATTCTTTTCCACCATCACTTTAAAAAGTTTTGATACACAATGAAAACTGATTTTCAACAAACACAAGAAATGAGGTAAAGTGAGTGAAAGTTTCTGACTTATAAATCCATGTGTAGCGAGTGTGGTCATCTATAAACAAGAGATAATAACGGAAACCAGAAATAGAAGTAATGGGAGACATCCATACATCCGAATGAACTAAAGAAAATGGTGTAAGAACATGTTATTTATTAATAGTAAAAGGAAGTCTTGTAGACTTTCCTAATGCACAATGCTTACAAAAACTAATGCGAGAAAATTTAAAAGATGATCCGAGACTTTTATTGGAACTTAAAACTTGCAAAATTTTTGATGAGGGATGCCCGAGACGATGATGCCATAAGGAAGAAGAAACACAAAAAGCAGATAAAGCATCGCGAGGAGCCACATCTTGTTTAATAGGGTAGAGACCACGCTCACATGGCCCTAAAAAAGGATAGAACCAGTACGTAAATCACGAATAATAAATCCCCACGGAAGAAAAAGAAAACTAATAGAATTATCATGGGTAAATTGAGCAACTGACAACAAATTTTTGGTCATCGAAGGAACATGAAGTACATTGAAAGACGAAAATGTGAAGAACCAGTTTAAAGAGAAAAGTTACCAGAGTGCGCAATAGGAAGTGAGTCACCATTGCCTAAAATAACCTGAGCATTATTACCATAGTCAGATTTCTGAGTCATGTGACGAGCGTCACTCGTCATATGATTTGTAGCACCCGTATCAGGATACCAGTTAGGACCCACAAGTTGAGATAGTTACATTCCAGCAAAGGTAGAGACGAGATCATCATCAAATTGAGAAGTGCGGGAGGAAGGGTGCTGCCCAAGAATGCCTTGATGCGTACTATGGTTATTGTCATAACTATAACCACCACGACCATAATTGTTGCGACCTTGATTATTTCTAGCAAAACCAGGACGCCCATATCCACCACGATTGTTATCATAACTATAAGTGTATTGACCAAAATCACCACGCCCGTATCCACCACGAGTATTATTATAAATGTTGTTGGAATAATTAGAATGGCCTCCACGACCATGACGACCACGACAAGAATTAAAATTTTGGCCTCCACGGGTGTTGGAAATAAAGGCAGTGGGTGTGGTGTTTTTAGAACTGGGATGTGATGTAATTTAAGATTTAAAACAAAGAAAACAAGCACGAAGATCCGAAAATTTGGGAAGAGGAGGAAAATTGAGAATAACAATTTTCAGCATAGCATAGTCTGAGCCGAGACCGTGAAGAGCAAAAGTAACGAGGTCATTATTAGAGACTGGTTCATTAATGGCTGCGAGGGCATCAGAGAGAGATTTGGAGTGTTGTAGGTATTCAGAGATGGATTTGGAACCTTTAGAAAGTGACAAAAGCTGGGAGCGAAAATTCGTGGCATTGGCAAGAGATTGTTGAGAAAAATTTTCTTTGAGACATTCCTAAATTTGACAAAAAGTGGTCAACCAAAAACTTGAGACAAAACAGAGGGAGAGAGCGTAGCATTAATTAAACTGATGAGAGTTTGATCAGTTCTAAACCATGCTGTGTACTCCGGATTAGTGACCTCAAATTTGCCATCAGCAGAGAATATGGTTTGAAAAAGACATGCTTCGGATCCGTCAATAAACCTCCAAAAATTTTGGCCGACAATAAACGGCTTAATTTGTGATTGCCAAATAAGATAATTTGTATCCGTGAGTTTGATTGAAACAAGGTGTGTGTGATAACCCTCAATTTTAGAGCCACGGGTGATCAAGTCCGAACACAAATGCGAGGGATACCAAACAATTGGTATGTAAATAAGCACGGAATACAAAATGAAATATGAATAGAATAATAAAGCTGAAACAATTCTAAATTAAAAATCCTCAAAATAATATAATTTAAATCCAATAATCTAAAACCTCCATTACTTTAACAACTCGAGAATCCATCTAGTGGACCCCTATCAAAATCCCATACTAAATAGGAAACAACTGAAACAAAATCCAAAGCTAAACATGGAAAATAGTCCTACGTAGTCGGAGGAATAAGTGACTGTATCTGCTTAGCATGATCAAGCTCTAACCCTGGAACTGACGAACACCTGAAAAATAAGAGAGTGGGTCAGGCCCATATGCAAGTTCTTTCTTACTACCATCCATACAGAAACCTGATACGCAGATACATCATAGATATCTCAACAATAACTAAAGTAGTCCATATATGTATACATACACACTATAGGACTCACTAGCCCAATAGGTCTATCTCAGCCTGAGTAGAGATACCATGCAAATCGCACATAAAGTGGTCATGTGTACCTAGACCTACCAGGGAACAACAACTATGTCCAGTTATCCATCCTAGGCGATATACGCACCATAACCATGATCCAAAGACTCAAGTTCATATCACGGCACCATAATCATAAATACATAAAGTCCATATAAGCCTACTACAAAATATCATCCATCTAATATAGTGACCTGACATATGTATAAAAAAATCCATCCAGAAACCAAAGTATGTCATTTAATTGTTTATTGATCTGACACCAATATGAGTAGGACTTAACCTTTATGGTTAATCCATACCTCAATCCAGAATAGGTAGGACTTAGTGTCTAAACTAATCCATCTTTGGTATGCCACCGTCCCATACCGGTGCATAAATCCTCCAAATAACATAATTGCTAAAACGGTAATAAGTACTCATCAGCCATACTCCAGGGTATGCATAAATTAAGTTTAATACATATATGACCATATTAGACATTCATTATATGACCCAAAAATCATGTTCCAATCCTTTGAATTGCTAAAATAAAACTAAACATTTAAATCCTTCATACAGTCCATAATTTGATACAGTTTACAACAAATTAAATATCAATTTAATCCAATTAAAGCATGGTTAATTGCAGATAATCCACTATACTTATAACACTGTTGAAATATGACTAAACATTATTAAATCATATACAAAAGATTTGCTAAGTTCCAGTAAGCAAATTAATTAACAAAACAGTATGCAACATGTAGGTTTTTTCTTAACTTCATGTTGCTCCATTCCTTAATACATTAATGTAACAATGTTTTCCAATATTTTTATAGGTCCATAGCAGTTATTTACAACATTTAGTGCAATTTAAACGGCTTAAGAATACCCTGTACAGCCCAAACACACATGGGAGCCGGCTCCCCACCCTTGGGAGCCGGCTCTAAGGAGCTGGGAGCCGGCTTTTGCCTTGAAGAAGCTGGCTCCCTCCTTTTGGGAGTAGGCTCTCTCTCCTTTAAGAGCCGTAGTCCGCTACTGTTCGTCTTCTTCTTCTCTGATGACATTGCAGAACCTTCTGTAATGCCTATTACAGTTCCTAGGGTTCAACTTCAGTCCCAGATTAATTATACAACACTATTATGCATCAACGACATAAATTATACCCAAGCTTAAAATCAACGACAGCAAGATTTAATTATAAACTTCAATCAACCCTAAACCAGTTTAATTCAACGAAATCAAATACAGTTCAAACTTGCATAAAAGATATGTTTTAACATTAATTTAAAACCTGAAGTCTACCTAGGCATGCACATAATGCAGGTGTAAGGGAATGAGTTAGAATATGAACTTGCCTTCAGTTTCAGTATTGAAAACTTAACAACCGTCTCTGAGTTTTCTGACCACTTCCTAGACTGCCGTTCTACACCTCCGTTGCTCTTGGTTCAACCAGAACCAATCCGTTCCTTCCTCCTTGAACCTCTCTATTAATCCCTCAAGTCTCTCTCTCTCTTTCTCTCTACCTCTCAATACGTGAATAAGGTTTTTGTTTTACCCTAGCACGTCTCACCCTAAGTCTGACTATCACAGTATATATATATAAGCTTTAATAAACCTAATTCTAAGTCGGCTACCTTATCCCACGAGAACTCATAAACATAAAACCCTAGAAAAATGTTGTATAATTAAACAATTAATAAACTAATTTAAACTAATAAATCAAATGTTGCATATAAGTAAAATAAATAACACAATTTAAACCATTAAACAATTAAAATAATTAATTCAATTAAATAAAGCAAATAATACAATTAACTCCATTAAATAACAACAATTAAAATAATTAGGCAAAAAAAACAAATAATCAAGCAAATAATCAAAGAAAAATGCACTAAAATAATAATTAAAATACCGAGACAATCGTTTTAAAATTAGGGGTATTATAGTGTGAGATATTGGAAA